TCCTACTCAAGGCGTTATTCCCCCTCACCTGAGTCTAGGTGACTAATTCGAAGCACAAGCCTCTGAGTTCCATGATCACCCCTTTGCTACATGTACCACGTCTCTGGTACAACAGACCTACTGTCAGCCAACTAGCTCCGGTCCCCGCGGTCTCTATCCTGTTTCTATCCCTAATACCAAGTCTATGATTTGCCATGCCTTAGTCTCTTGTATGCCAACACGCAAACGTTGTGGTTCAACATTGAACCAAATCAAAACAAGCTGTTGACTAAAGTTGCCTTTCATTCAGAATTTAAAGTAAGTAAAAACAAACATTTATAGATGAACAAAAGCTGTTTCTCTGAGTTAACTACTGCTAGAATACCTTTGTTTGAAGGGGTGAATGTATCGGATTCGTAAGCTGGCCTCACCGGAAGCCGAAGAAGGAATGCCTTGAAGGTGAGACTGTAAATTTGTGCTAATAAGTCCTCGGCCTAAAGATGAATACTAGCTGAGCTTTAGTCTGTCATGTTGCAAACATCATCAGACCAGAACATCATACTTTACGCTAATTCACCAAATTCTTAGAAGTGGATTGACTTCGTTGTCGCAACTTGGTCTTGTTGTCAGGGTGACTTAGTATAACGCACCTAGTCCGAAGTCGTCTGCCATAGTAGTTGTCATGATTCCCAGCATCTTACAGTGGAATTGGTACATTCTCAAACGTATCGCCGGAATCGTAGTCGGCATCATCAGTGAGCTTTGCCATTCTCCGCACTAAGATACAAACTCGTCAAAGAGACAAGTGAAGTCAATCCCTCGACAAACTTTCTGCCGAATATGGTTATACTATCACTCTTCTTTCTGTCTTGGCCTATCTATCTACTCTTTACCCTCTTATCCCACTGCCGCCCTATCACAACTTCTCACTTGTTTACATTTCACTCGTTAAAATGTGTGCCCTTATGTGGCAAATATAGCGTGGCCCCATCACACTTGCTATTTACCCCGACCCCTCTCTTTCGATCGGCTTATCCGACTCGGGCATCCAATCCGGATCCCTTAATTGCTTCGTAGATCCATTCCTTATCTTTCTGATTGATCGATTTCACTCGATTCGAGTCCATGTGTGCATTTCACTCCAGGCGCTATTTCTCAACGGCATAGAAGTACGTGCAATGCCGCTTCACTGAGCAGAGCACCTAAGCTCTGATTGTCATGCTTGCAGATATCAGGCCTCCCCTTTACGGGACCTCTTCTTGATTAAACCCACGTTATCTGAGCAAAGTGTGGACACCTATCTCTGGTCGCAAGCGGCATCTCAAGTGGATTTCTAGTATATTTTGGCCATAACGCCAAATTTCCGTGACGGTTTGCTTATCCATCTGCTTAACTCCCTGACTGCCAGGCCCCCAAAGTTGTACTGGTTTATTCAAAATGAAAATCACTCACATTACTGTTATCATTAGTTAAGAACTGCAACTGGTTTTATGATCAGAGAAAATTTGCATAGATTTTTGCGCTCATTCTGATTCGCGAATTATCCTAGGAACCAAAAAAGTAAAACAAATTTCATCTAAACGACTAACCAGCAGGTTTACGGCGCACTACCATATTGATGCCAACGCCTGGTTCACCCTGGTGCACTCCCCGAATGTGCCGGTTAAGGTCGGACTTCTGCACGAATGGCTGCTGACATTGCTGGCACTCAAAGCTGCGCGCTGCGCGATCGTGATGTTTTAAATGGTCCTTTAACTTATCCCTATTATTGTTTGTAAGTTAATATTTGGTCGAATATGCATTTGTGTGCATGTGTGCTCACACAGCAGGGTGATATATGAAAGTTGTGAGGTAGAGCACAAGAATGCATATAATGTAATACATTTACACACAAGGAAGACAAACATAAGTATTTGTTTATTAACAGAAAATTAATGTAACAGTAAAAAGATATACATCGTGTTGAAATGGACGCATGTGAGCACTTATATTTTTATTAAATTAGACAAATAAATGTATTTGCATGGATATGTGGGTTAGTATGCGCGCGTGCATAAAATAAAAAATAAAAGAAACGCGTCATGTACAATATTCTTACAGTGGATAAACCAATAAGAGATTAAAAAGCACAATTGAAAAGAAAATTTATAAATATAACAACTTCACTGTGTAGATCCATAATCAGATTAGACAGGTAAAATTTTACATTAGAAGTAACTGCGTTATGATACACTATTGCGAATAGGTTTTCCAGAGAAAAAAAATGGTAAAATATATAAAACCGGAAATATAAATTTCCCTTAGCTTATCAAGCTTAGAGAATATAAGGCAAATCAAATCCAGAAGGTCCATTTATAACAAATTAAAAAGAATATTTATAGAAAATGACATCAGACAGAAACAGAAAATAAAATATTTCTTCCATGCTTCAGCTACTATGTGAGTAATTATTTGAATCTTCCATCGTCAAAAAAAGAGGAAGAAGTCCTACGTCTGCTCAGTGGGCAGATAGTGAAGTAAGAGCACGTTAATTATAAAAGCTTGCCATCATGCCATTTTTATTATCAATCCATATATATTTTTGATGGGGGAAGATATGTGAGAAGTAGGACATAATCAAGGTTAAAAAGAAGTGTTATAAAAATATTTAGTGTAGGAAAAACATGGTGTGGCTTTAATTTCTGTAGCAATCTCTTTTGGCTGCGGAGAAGTGGTATAATCTCATGTTGGTAGTGTTATAAGGATTATCTCGATGAATGAGCTTTGTCCAGAATCCCCAAACGTAGAAATCATGGAAATGCACAGCGTCAGACCGTGTACATGATACATTCACAAATGTTTCCCTAGCATCGTGATCGGCATCGTTTATTAATTATCAGTTCCTTTTATTAAATTGAATTGCTACCTCCCATCATTATGTTCGCGTCTTTTTGATGATATGCAGCTTGGTGCTAAGAGTAGCAAAGCCCATTGACATTATCGAATGTGATGACGGCAAAATGCCTGTAAAAATTTGACTACTCAAAGATGGAAATTATCATGTTTACTATGGCAGAGGATGCTGGACAAAAGACTTTAGTCAAAGATACTCTGGTAAAACGACCAAGCTACGAAAACGAGGTCAAAAGAATAATATAAAAAATACTTACCTGAGTCCAATACTGAATACAAGATTGACAGGCTACCGTATGCTCTGCCAGAACATGATAATAGAATAATAGAGCCCTTCAACTGATCTAAAAATGTGATTGTGCGAATCTAACTACTTTAGCCCAAGCAAAAAAGCATAACTACGATAAAAACAAGCTTCACATGTGAGCCATACTACAAGAAGCATATGAAAGAAAGAAAAAATTAAATTTTACAGTACAGTGGAAAATGCAA